AATGTGAGCCTCTCATAACCTGTCGTAGCATCCACCATTTGATCAATCTTGGGCAGAGGGAAGCTATCTTTTGGGCAAACTTTGTTAAGGTTGGTATAATCTACACATACCCTCCATTTCCCATTCTTCTTTTGAACGACTACTACATTTGAGAGCCATTGTGGGTATTGCACCTCTCGAATGAATCCTGCTTGTAATAGTTTATTTACTTCCTCGGCTATTATGCGATTCCGTTCATGTGCAAACCGTCGGTGCCTTTGCTTGACTGGCCTGAATTCTGGGTTAACCGTCAAACTATGGCACGAGACCGTAGGATCGATCCCTACCATGTCCGAGTGATCCCAGGCAAAGATATCCGAATTACACCGAATGACCCTGATCAATGCTTCCTTCTCTTCGGCTATGCAAGATGAGCCAATATAGGTGACTTTCTGAGGGTCTCCGAGGACTACCTCTATAGCTTCGAGGGATTCCTCGGTAGGTGCTTCAGCCTCGGCTTCTTCCTCTGCCTTGATATACTTGGGCAGAGGATACTGTAACTGCTATTTGATTGCGTCTTCGGGATTCGCCTCTAACGGAGGTGATTTCGACGCCTTCTTTGCTTCATGTAGCGTTAGCATGTAACATTCTTTTGCAGCAACCTGGTCTCCCCAGAGGTCGATGACCTCCCTGCCATCTGGGGATAAACACATCATTACTTGATGAAGAGTAGAAGGGACTCCGTTCATACGATGGATCCAACCTCTCCCCATAATGAGGTTATAAGATGGATGAATTTCCGTCACTACAAAGTTCTCCTTTAGAGTCCTCTTTGCTGCAGTAACGGATAGATTGATCACCCCAAGCGGATTCACCTTAGTACCATCAAACCCTATTAGGGGGCTAGAAATTGGCCTGATGGACGATGATGAGACCCCCAGCTGATCGAAGGCTGCTTTTGTAATGATGTTGGCGCTACTTCCTGGATCTATCAGCACCCTCCTGATCATATAATCTGCTACCAGGAGGCTGATGACCAAGGGGTCCTCATGCGGGCGCTAGACTCTAGACAGATCATTGTTACCGAACCTAATGTTGATGCTGCCTGGTGCAACCGTGTTTACCGAAGACAATCTTCGTAACTTATGAGCCTCTCTCAGCCTGGATCTGTACAGTTCTTCAGACTCTTCATCGTCCTCTGACCTTCCGTGTATGGCATGGATAACCTTTACCTGACCGCTCTCCACCCGTCGAGGGTTAACCTCCCGAGGTTTTACGTACTCCTTCGTGGCGAGATACTCCACCAACTCTCCTCTCGCTATCATGCTTTCTACCTGTCGCTGAAGGGACCTGCAGTCATTGGTGGTATGCCCATAGTCTCTATGGTAGGCACAATGTTTGCTTTTGTCCCTCTGCTCCAAGGGTTGTTTCATGGGCTGAGGAGTTGCGAACCTCGTCTTATTCTCTTGGAATAGGCGCGCTAAGGTAGTACGGAGAGGGGTAAGCCTGTCCTCTGTCCTTCGCCTCTTCTCAGGCGCTTGGGTGACTTGTGTGGCGGTATGAGGAACCTTCTACATCCTTGTGCTTGCAGTTTTCTCTCGAGACTTGTTTTCCACTGTGACGAGGGTAGCGTGCTGTGCACGGTGGGCTACGTTTTCCTCTAACCGAATGTAGATTTGTGCCCTAGCGTTCAAAGTCTGCATATCCGGGGGGGAATATTTGATCAAGGATGTGTGAAACTTGGTTCCCTGGATCATTGTCAACTTAAATGTTTCGATTGCCGTGGCAGGGTGGCAATCTGCTATCTCCGAGGCTTCCATGTTAAATCTGGATAAGAAATCTTGTAGAGTTTCTCCCTTCCTTTGCCTTATGGTGAAAAGGTTGGCGATACTTTTCTTCTGCTTCTTATTTCCGCAATATTGGGCTAAGAACATAGTGCATAAGCTCTCATAATCAGGGATAGACTTGTGTGGCCTATTCCTGAACCATTCTAACGCTGCTCCGGTTAAACTGGTAGGAAAAACCTTACACATCCACGGATCGTTTTGATCATCCAGTGCCATCTTTTGCGCATAATGATCGAGATGCCGAGAGGGGTCTCCTGCCCCATCGAACTGGGTGAAGGATGGCATAGTGAACTTCTTTGGTCTCTCCACAAGGTACACATCGTCAGTAAAGGGGGTCTTGACCAAGGAGTTCTTGTGCTCTCTAGCCATCTCGGCTGGTGTCTGAACTCTTAATAGCTTCTTTTCGTCGAAGGCATCTTGTACGCGTGCGCCATCTGGAATGCCATTGGACCATACCGTAAGCCTATGGCTGGACTCGGCCTGTTCGTCCTGTGTGCGGCACGAGAGATTATCCGAAGCAATCGCCTCGGACCTCGTCCCTTGCTTTTGCTGAACCTCATTAGGTCGAGCCCCGTTGGGTGGTGTCCCGTTGGCCGGAGGCTCGTGAACTGGAGGTAAATTCTGGGTGGGGGGTGGTGCTGCAGCATCGCCTGGTGGTAGTTGTGGTGTTAGCCTGACCATTGCCGTGTGCAGCGTATAAGTCTGCTGCTGAAGCGCAGTTATCTGGGCGACACTCGTATCGTTTGCTTGCCGGAGTGTCTCAAATTGGTGCAAGAACTCTTCTCGCATCTTTTGCATCAATTCTATCTGTTGATTCATTGCTGACTCTCCGTTTGACATTCCAGATACGACTAAGGATTTGATTTGAAGAACAAGTGGGAGTATATTTTTATACGATTCCCACAGACGGCGCCAAAGTGTAGGTGCAAAATTTTGCTCAACCAATAATGATTAAGAAAAATAAAACAACTCACTCAATCAATAGTAAAATAAACAAGAACAATATATCTCGCAGCGTAGAATTGCTTGATCCTTTTATTGGAGGTCTGAGCCCCTATTTATACATAAAAGGGTGGTCGAATTAAGTTAGGACTCGCATTGCTTGTCCTCCAATTCTTCCTATACAGAGTTTCTTTACAAATAGAGCTTTTCCCTTGCATAACTTTCTATACGTATTACTTGCCTTGTACAGAACTTCCTATCTCAGAATTTTCCTTCTACAGTAAATCCTTCAACTGGTAGGACTTGTGCATTCTTGAATAAATGGGCTGAACATATTTTGATCCGGCTGGGCTTGAGTAACGGACCGGATGTTAAATATTAACAAGTTGGGCTGATGACCTCTTGATTCGGCCTTGATGGAGGTTGGAGGACAAATAACGATGGTCTTGGGCTGTAAATACCCTCAATTTGGGCTTGAGCATGATGGGCCTTATATGTCCTTGGAATGTAGATATGTGTAGTGGTGACGTGTGCGCTTTTTATTGGAGGGAATTTTTTTCCCTCCACAAACATTTTTCAGATGTTGGTTCACCGAGCACCCAAGTCCAAAGGTGAGTGTTTTCTATTAAGCACGAAAAATTAGTCTCCTTCAAGTTATGCTTTGTTTTTTAGGTTCTTTCCTATGTCACCTGGTATTCTGATAATTACTAGAATCTCAAAGAAAGCAGTAGTATAGTACACTATATATTTTAAAATGTGGCGTGGTATATGTAGCTTTACATAAATCACACAGTTGGAATGTGTTCTATATGTGAGCCAATTTCAAACACATCATCATCATCCTTGCCTTTGTCCCTTATGAATGGGTCGGCTAAATGAATTATCCCTTTTCATTCTTTCCTATTATAAGCCACGTCTCTTACAAAATATAGTTTTTTAAAATCATTTTTAATTACATCATTCCATGTAAGTTTTGGTCGGCCTCTTTGGCGCTTACCTCCTAAGCAAACAAACCTTCTACCCTAACCTGTGCCTGCTCCAGTCCTACCTACCGCATCCCTCTCTATTTCTACATCTTTTTGTAATATTGAACCTAAATAGAGAAAATAGCCTCTCTTACACAATGATTATTAATTATAAGTAAACATAATAAACCTGTTGTAACTAAAAGCTGTTACCTGAGTGTTCCTCCCACCTAAGTGGCATGATGAGAGCAGGCTAAATACAGGCATTTTTCATAAAGTGACTGCGCTCAGACGCATAGCACATTCTCAAAATTCATAACTCAAGCTTTAACCAATGCATCTAGTAACAGCCTCTTGTAATTGATTATATTAGAACTAATTACCCTCTTAACATATAATTTAGTATATACCCCCAAGTTGAGATTTATAAAATGACCCTTTCCCTAAATCTTTAAAGGCTGTGAATATAATAACAATTGTTCAATGATGAATTCAAACTTTAATCCTAGTAAATGAATTTAAAACCCAGCCTCTCAGTGATATGGGTGGAATATGGAGCACGCGACTAACAGTTATGGCAGTCTACTTACAACTCAATCCTAAATACCAATCTGGCCTGAGTTTCTCGACTTTCATATGATTGATGGGATATACCTGATGTATGTCCCACCATCAACCCTTAACAAGGCAAAAGTTGTTACTACTTGATTTGAGGATGTAACAGAGGAGCTGTATTTGGAGGAGTGCATTGGTAGCTGTGTATTGGGCTGGAGATTCGTTTCAGGAGCGCGAATAAAGGTTTTGCTGAGAGTTGTGCAAGAATTCAATATCTGATTTGTGTGTAACTCCTTTCTCAATGAACGCTATTGGTTTTTAGGGACAGTCCATTCTATCCCTAAAAGCCCTAAGACCGTTCCTAATAATCGAATTTGACCGTCTCTAATAGTTGTGTCACAAAAGATTTTTAAGGACGGTAAAAATTGTCCGTCCCTAAAACAATCGACCTTTAGGGACGGACTTACTGTCCCAAATACGATGGTATTTACTATCCCTAATAGTTGATATAATTATCTGTCCCTAATACAATACTTATTAGGCACAATTTGTACTTTCCCTAATAGGATTTTTTTATTATTATTATTAAATTTGTGACAGTTATAAACTGTCCATAATACTTTATTATTATTATTATTATTTTTATTTTTATTATTATTATTATTTTTTTTTTGGGTTTTTGCTCTTTTGGATTTGTGTTCCAGAAAAACTATTAAACCATATTCACCTTATATATCAAAACATCATAACTAAAAAGTACATACATCCACAATATCATTCTAGAAAGAAAAAAAAATAGATTATCACCACAACACAGTGCCAACAAATGAGCTCTTAATCTCATGATGAAACTACAAATTCTCCAGTTTTGTAATCAAGAACTAAAAGTATCTACTAGCTGCTTTAACATCAGATGGTTCCAAACATCATCAAAAATTAAAACATCATTTTAAACTGAATGCAATCATGAAAATGCTGTGTTGTTGTTGTTGCTGCTGCTGCTGCTCAAGGAGCTGTTGTTGCTGCTCAAGTAGCTTCTGAATTGTATCTAACTTCTCCTCCAAACCAAAGGTGCTTCCCATGCTTAGCGGAGCACCTACTATATTCTGGACCGGAATCATATCACAAAGGATAAACTGAGCTGAGCTCCCTATCTCCAATACATCAGAGCACCACATACATAAAACACTAACTATCAACAAACATCATTTTCCTTATGACATGTGCATAACGAGGTGATGTTGTTGCATAAATAATTTCATCATTTACTAGAACTGCTTTATTAAGTATTAGCCTTAACATGATAATTAAGGACGGACTAGTTGTGAGGAATAAACTTACCGAAACCGATGAGTAAACATTCTCAAGCTGTTTAGCTATAGAAGTGCATGCATCAGATAAGCTGCACCTTGTAACAAACATCATATCAGGAAGTTTCCAACCCTAAAACAAGAAACAAGTTCACAAACCATTATATTAGCTAATCGCAAAGGAAAGAGTTATAGGAAGGAAAAAAAATTATATATATATATATATATATATATATATATATACCTATAAAATATTAAGTGACAAATGAGAACACAATGTTACTGGAAAAGAATATCTATTTCTTTTAATTAAAAACATATAGATCATCTCAATTTCCTTTCCCCAGATGGAAATATTAATTAAGTTTCAAAAATATTAAACAAAAGAACAAATCTGCTTACATTACAAACAAATATCTTCCCTACTGTTTTTACTGAAGTAGAGCTAGTAATCAAGCATCAAAGTGCCAACCACTGAACTTCCTATCCTAAAATCTGGACATAATCCCCATTCCCCTCTATTTTTCTATTCCCAAATATAATAGTTCATATAATGTACCCTACTGGGGACAATAGAATCATTGATTTGGATATTTTAATGTGGGTATGACTTGTTTGACAAAGTGGTGGGATGGCAGGATCCACACCTTGAGGAATTCACAGGCACAAAGAAGCATTATGGTACATTGGGTGGGCAATCTGCAGTCTGCCCAATACAAGATTCATTTGTAAGAAAATGGGCCATGACAAAGCTTCATATGACAGTTTGAGGTCTGTACTGGAGCAGCAGCCAGCTGGGATACAGACTCGTAACTATAGGAAGGCTCCAAGTTTCAGTTGCTCTAGAGTTTAACCCCGTAAGGTTGCAAGCCTGATCAATGGCCGCACCAGCGTGACCTGTGTATTGACTGATATAGTAAATAGTTTCATGAACTTGGGTTGCTATCCCAAGTCACATTGCTGCTTAGATAATCTTTCTTATAGCCATGTTGCTGTCAAATGGGGTGATGGGGATTCAGGATTAAATGACAAAAAAATCTAAACTTGAATCTCCAAATGAGAATTAAATTTGCATTTCAAGTTCAAAAAAGCTTTGATTCTTTTAAAATAAATTCAGTCAACTGACCAAAGCTATCTCAGCATCAGTGCATGCATATATTTGGATTGGGGGTGGGCTTGGAGTTAATTTTTCCATTAACCAAAAAGAAAATCCCAAAATAAATCCCCTAACAACTCAATAGCCTCGCACTTGAGCTAAATTAACTTTGGGTGGCAAAGCTCAAATTATGGGGTATATTTTCATCATCTTTAGATGCAATCGTGCTTGATAGAAGCACAAATCATATTTCTTCACAAAAAAGGTACAGTTTTTATAGGAACTAGATTTTAAACAACTCAATAGCCTCGGACTAGAGCTAAATTAACTTTGGGCGGCAAAGCTCAAATTATGGGGTATATTTTCATCATCCTTAGATGAAATTGTACTTGATAGAAGCACAAATCATATTTCTTCCCAAAAAAGGTACAGTTTTTATAGGTACTTGATTGAGATCATGATTGTTACCTTCCACCAAACATAGCCATATTCTACTACAATAACAACAGTAATTATACCGTATCTGCTACCACCTGCACAGGATTAAATGAGATTTTAAACATTAATAATATATTACAGTGTAAACCAAGGTACAAGTATTAAAATAAGTTGTGAAATCAGATTATTGTCCAAGTCAAAGTGCACAGAAGAAAAGAATTACTGAAGTCATGGATATAACAGAGATAACTAAAAATTTCTCAAGGTCTCCAAATTGCAACATGATGTGAAAAGGAGACTTCCATGCACATCAAGGTAAAATGCCAGTGTTGAACATTTGAACTGTTCATTAAAAGATTAAGAAGAATCCTGATCATATTGTGGTTAATGCAAATCAAGCTTCATCAGGTCCATTATGTTTGCAGGAACATTAAATAAAAGCTATGAATATTACTAAAACACATTCTTACGTTTAGGTGCACATTAAATCAGAAAACAGGTGAATGCATTTAATTGGAAACTTCCGGTGTTTTGGTGAAAGAATGATAACTTAACAAACTTACCCACCCATCCACACAAGCGCTCAATCAAAGATAATTTAAATGGTTAGGAAAGCACAAGTTTATCTGTTTCAAAACTGAATTCATGCTTTTCTTATTTCCTCTCTCTTTTAGAAGGGAAAAAAAGAGTCATTCATTAGCATGTTATGCAATGGAATTTTAGAATCCATTTTCATGTTTATATTTAGGTTTGCTGAGAATACTTTTTTCAGATTTGATTATAGAAATCCAGATACAATCAAAATATTTGAATCGTGGACCCAGAAACTAACAATAATCAAGAAAGGAAGATGTAGAAAAAGATGATGGTGATGCTGGTTGTCATGAAAGAGTTCATTGCAATAGGGCCTAAATAGAGGATTTTCCACGTTACAGAATAAGAATGATGGCCATCATCTGATTTTGCAGATGGTCCCAAGGAGGACTGTGGAAGAGTTCTCAAAAGGATGTTCCCATCCAGCTCCCCAACTCCAGGCCAAATAAATATGTACACATGCATGTAAAGGCTAAGAAGGTAGATGTCTGATAAGAATACAAAGGCGTGAATGGAGTTCAGATGTGACTTACAAAGGAGTGAAATTAGTAGTATCAGCTTACATGTTTTTACATCTCATGCAAACCAAATAACAACATACAGCCAAGCAAATGCCAACTTCCTTTCTTTTTTTTTTTTTTTTTTTTTTTCTTCTGACATACAATAGGGAATGAATCCAGGATTACACACCACAATGCCCCCAAGTTACAAGTAGACCAAACATTTAAAAATGTCAAATTCCTTTGTTCCTTTGGAACAGTTTTTTTGTTTGACAAGTAAAATGACCCATGATTTAACAACGTAACTAAAAAGAAATTTTAAATGGCAACTGCTTCACATTTAAGATCTTGTACTGGGATTAACAGAACCAAACACAACAAAGAAGACATGGAGACTCACATCATGTAAACAGAAACACGTGAGCCTGTGTTAGAAATTGCACTCTTCAATTGAAACATGATTATGAAGATTTTTTAGATTGCATTTTGCAATATAAGTTATTAATTTTAAAATAAATAAAAAAAGAATAAAAGTAATAACTTTAAAAAATGGGGTCACTCAAATATTTTTTCTCAGATATTAGTGATACAGAGCCAATGGCTGAAAGGTTATGACAGAAAATTTTCAACAAAGAGGTGCAACTTGCAAATTGATTACCAGAAGCTCAGTTTCAATTGTCTTTGCCATGTGCAGATTGATAATAAGCCAAATCAGTAGTAATTCCTAACAGATACGCTCAACCTTTTCAAAGCGGCTTGGACAATACAAATCAAAATACCAGTTGACTAATAAGCTAAGGTAACTAAATCAAAAGGATCATATGTGAGCGAGATCAATCTCCAATATTGGGATGCATTCATGTGGCATGTGGTGGGATGCATTCATGTGGCATGGTGGTGGGAAGAATAGTACTACTATAGGATTGCAACAACCAAAAAGTGGTAAAAAAGAAATCAAAAAGTGCAGATCAAATATTAGATAGAAATTCTACAAAACTCATACCTAAATCAACCTCAAAAAAAAAAAATAATAAATAAATAGTATAGAGAAGCAATATTACCTAGCTTAACCCTGACCTTTACAAATAACTTTAGGAGAGAGAAAATAAAAGGCCAAGAAGAAACTAGAAGTATTTTGCAACAATCTTGGTAATTGGGCCACATTCATTACGGTAATAAGAGGAGAGGATTAGAAACAAACTCAACATTTCACATTATAAAGTGACTGCTCTAAGATTTAATATTGCACCAACCTTGATAATATTCAAAAAAGAAGATGAGTTTAGCATATTTATTAGATAAATTTGAAACCAACAAGCCAATAGCAGACACTAAAGATAATTATTCATATAGAAATAGAATCAAAACCAAGATTACGTCTCTTATCAGCCGCAAATTTCACAGGTGCATTTTCTATGCTCTACACCAGAATAGGTAAAAGAGACGCTATCTATGCCCACTATTCTTTGTTTTTCCAAAAAAATAAATAAAGTGCAGATCAAATATTAGATAGAAATTCTACAAAACTCATACCTAAATCAACCTCAAAAAATAAATAAATAAATAGTATAGAGAAGTAATCTAAGCTAGTCAATTGCCATATGAAGAAGAGAGTGAAACATACCTCTCGGCAAGTAGATAGCGATTCAGACTTATACGACAAGCCTTTTCCAGATTTGCAATTTACCCCTTCAATTGTTAGGCCTTTTGCAATTTCGAAACCCTAGAAAAAACTAGGGTGAGGATCATGAAACCCAGGTGGGTTATATGAACGTCAAATCGAACATGAAGGTTCTCTGAAAATCGAAGAAAGAGGTTCAAACTTGAATAATCCCTAAAATTTTTAAAAAATAAAAACGTTCTGCCTCAGTATCATCATCTTGTGATTCGGTGAAGATTGAAGACGCTTTGAACATGAGCTATTGAATTCGGTGAAAATCCAGCCCAGAGAATGTTTGATTAAGAGGTATGGTCTTCAGATTTCGCGCCGGTGGACGAGGTCTGCAACTTTTGAAAACTGAAGTGGTTTGTGACGGTGGAAGAGGTTTGCAAATGATACAGGGTGTGTTAATTTTTTTAGATTAAAACGACGTAGTTTGATGGGCTTCCCTATTTTCTAAAATAAAATAATTTTATATATTTCATTTTTGCTGCGAACAATAGCGCCAAACAAGTGAAAAATTACGCGCTAAAGTTTGGCGCTATTTTGTGTGGAATTGGGGACGATCCTAAATAGGCTGTACAAAAAAAAAAAAAAAAAATGCTTTTGGGGACAATTTTAGGGATTTGGTGACATATCATATTGATTGTCTAATAATAAGATCTAAAAAACTGTCCCTAATAGCCTAATTTCTTGTAAACATTCAGCTTCACTCCTGGTGTTCAAATTGAGGCAAGTCCATAGCTTAGTATATTTATCTTTTAGCTGTTAGCTATGTTCCTTTGTTTTTGTTTCTGACTTGCTGTCCTTTTTGAGTTGTTTCTTCTGTCCTAGGGTATGTTCCTTGGTAAGCCTGTTTCTTTTAATACAGTCTAAATTCACCCCACCTACCCCAGAAAACAAAAAAGAAAAAATAAGGGCAATGAAACAGAATGCTACAAATAATTCAGGTTGATAAGGGGAACAAAAAAGTTTACCAATATTGAAAGAGCTATGGAATGTCCTATGATTTTTTTATTTTGACAAGTACAGTAGATAGTTAAGGAGGTCCAACTCATGTGTATGCTGTGTAGGAAACCATAGAAAAGAACTTGTTAAGGTCATAGATGCATCATATATCCCACACACACATGATTCCAGCAAACAAACTTGTCTTGTTTTAGACATCTATTTAAAAAAAATTAGTAGTATTTGGGTCGAAAAGAAGAACAACCAAGTTTACAGGGATCGAAAGAGCTATCACTTGTCCTTTGATTTTTATTTTCATAAGTACGGTAGAAAATGTTAAGGAGGTGCAAAAATCGTTGATTTGGCCAGGAACTAGTATAAGCCGTTCTCAGGAATCATGTAGCACTTGCCCAATGGTAAAAGTTCACAGGGTTGGATTGATTTTGAGTATAGTGAATCTCAATCAGAAGCACCAAATATATGAAAAGCAAATTTCAAACTCAATTAAAAATTGACTATACTGTGCTTAATCAGACATAAAAGCAGCCATCTTTACATTACAAACATCAAGCATATACGTCCAACAAAACCTATTTTTTTGTGTTACGGATCCAGAGTATTGGAAATAATGATTTTGAGTAACCCTATGGTATTAGATCGAATATTGCTATTGTTTTATTGTTACTTTCTGAGTCTTTATTAAATTTAAATTCCATTTATTCTGTTTAAATCTTACCAATTTTGAAACAATTTTTTTTTATTTTATTTTATTTTTATTTATTTATTATAATTTTTTTTTTCCCCCTAAATGAAGGAGTATATTCAAATAAACAATATAGTACAATAATTCAAGCAAGGGCATACCCTCACTAAAAAGAAAGCCCTAACCAAGGACCAACACATAAAAAATAGCAATCAAAACGAATTGCAAATGCCTTGAAGATTAACCCCCAACACATCCAACACTTCCCAAAGAATTCACTTAGCTAAATCCTTAGCCTCTCTAATACTCTTGTCGTGTAATCTATTATTCCTCTCCCACCATAAAAAATATAGTGTAGCTGTAAAACAAACTTTAGCCATTTTCTTGACATCCTTTCTTTGATACTGATCAAATTGAAGCAACAAATCTGCCAAAGCAAATACCCTATGAAGGTTCCATGAACACACATCTGAAAGAAACTCCAAACCTTCCAAGTATATTCACACCTACAAAGTTTCAACTTCATTATAGCATAGATAACATCTAGAAGCTAATGCAAGCGCTCTTTTCTGCAAAAAATCGTGAGTTATAACTGCCCGATGCATAATCAAAACAAAATTGACTGACCATCAGCCATCCACCATTCCAGCACAAACTAGCCCAAGCTCTTGATTCTTCACTCTAGCAACTTCCCAAGCTGCTTTAAACCCAAAAGGAGGAGTATGCCACTAAAATTTATCCTCACTTGTAACAATCACTAGATTCTTGAATGACTGCATCAAAACTTGCGTTGTATTACCTAATTTTTCTTCATCCCACTGACCAGCAGTGATAAAAGCACTCATACATATATTACTATCTCTACTCAAACATCCCAGCGTCTTATGTGATATCTCTCGATTCTAGAGCCACGGGTGATCAAGTCCGAGCACAGATCCAAGGGATACTAAACAATTAAGTATATAAACAAGCATTTGATTACAAAAGAAATAACCAAGAATAAATAAATCGCAGAAAAGAAACTAAATAATAAATCATTAACTTAATAAATAATTAATCCTCCAAATGAATATCCAAAATATTTAATATCGTTACAACTCGGGAATTCATCTAGTGGACCCCTAATGATAACCCAACTGAAACAACTTAAAATTAAACATAATCTGAAACTAAAACATAAAGAGAATCCTACGTAGAATCGGAAGAGTGACGTGAACTGTCTCTGTTCAACACGACTAAGCTTTATGTCTAAAACTGACGAACACCTGAAAAATAATAATAGTGGGTCAGACCCACGAACAAGTTCTTTCTACGACAACCCAAATAAACACTGGAAAAACTATATATCTATAGCTAACCCATGCAATAACTACATAGTCCATGAATAAATATACACATTAATGGAACCTCACTAGACTATAGGGATTGCCTCAACCTGAATAGTAGGCAAGATACAAAATGCACATATAGTGGGCATGAGTACCTAGACCTACCAGGGCACACAACCACACTATATCTAGCTACACATTCCTGGCAATATATACACCATAACCACTGATCTTGAGGCTTATGCTCATATCATGGCATATGTCTATATATATATATATATCCAATCTAAAGTAATCCACTATGTATCATCTAACTTATTCAGTTGACCTGACGCAAATATAAGTAAGACTTAACATTTTAGTTAATCCGTTCCCTTATAAAATAGGTAGGACTTAACTGATAAGTTAATCCATCCCTAGAGTGTCACCATCCCATACTGGTGTACTAAGTCCACACAATCCAACAATTGATGTAACAATTAAAGAAGTACATCAAATAATCCAGAGTTAAACATAATAATATTATATCATGCTATCACAAAATAGGAAAGACTTATAATTTATTTAAGCTTCCTACATCACATATCCTACACAAACTGAATCTTAAACATGCTGATATTTTATTATTCAATCAAGTAAGTATTATCCATATACAATTCATGCTACATATTTAATCTTAATTATTAGAACAAAATAAAGATTAAATCCATTTATTCCTCAAAGAATTTAAATAGCATGCATTGATATACTTAAGTTTGTTTAAAATTTATTTAAACTCATTTCTAGTCCTTATTTGATGTTTAGGACTCCTCAATTTCAATTAAATGTAATTCAACGCTGTTTACGAAACTTCTCCAAGTAAGACTCGAGCTTTTGTCCCAATTGCTCAAGCATCCTGTATCAGGCTTGAGCATCCTACTTCGGGCTCGAGCTTTTCACCCAATTGCTTGAGCTTTTCCTCTCAGGCTCGAGCTTTTTACATAATTATTCGAGCTTGGTCCCCAAGGCTCGAGCACTGTATCGACGACTCAAACCCTATTTACGTGATTCAACCCATAATTCTACTGTGAACCCAAATATTTATTGTTTAAGGATTCTAAGGCATGTTTCTAGGTTCCATCAGTATACAGATATAAAAATACATCATGTAAAACATGTAACAATTCATAAAGTAATCAAATCAAATCTCTAAATTTATTAATTCATACAACAAGAACAACTATGGAATATAATTGATAAAACCTATGTACTAGATCAATTAAGTTATAAATTCCAATTTTAATTGTTCTTTACATAACCCTAAGATTATACTATAGATATAAACTTCATAGATCAAAGGAGAAGTGTAGAACAAGAACTTGCCTTTAGAGATTTGATAAAACCCTAACCTCCTTCTTCTTCTTCATCTTTCTTTTTTCTTATTCTTTCTCTTTCTCTCTCTAAAATAATACGTGATATTAATTCTAGTCCATTTTTTCCAACCCTATAATTATATATTTATAGGCTAAATAAATAACCCTACTCCTTTTCCCAATCCACCTCAAATTAATAAAGAAAATAATAAAATAAAATACTAACAAGGTAACAAAAATATGTATTACGTATAATCTCTGTATACACTTTTTATATAAATAAAATAAATACATCAGATTATTACTAAAAACTTTCCTTATATATATATATATATATATATATATATATATATATATATGTATGTATGTATATTTATTTTTATATATACACATACACAATCCATAGCCCATCAAACCCCTTATCCAAGTAGTCTATGGAACCCAATTGGTTAGCTCATGACTACTATCCATAACCATTAAAATAAAACGAAATAAAATAAAATAAAATAAAATAAAACAACCATTTAAAACATTTAATTCCTAACCATTAATTACAAGAAAACACCTAACATTTAAGTAAATAAATACACATCATCTAACACATAATTCAACTAAATAATTAAACAAATAGTCAAGAAATCAAATAAAGAATTAAAAACACAATTAAAATAATTAATAAAATACCGAGACTATCCTTTTAAAATTAGGGGTATTACATCCTATGGTTGAATATCTCACTCAAAAACTTCCCATCACACCATGGATCCAGGAATACCTTTGTATTCTACCCATTACCAATCTTAAATCTACAATTAATCTTCATAAAATCAAAGACAGTAACAATACTTCTCCAAATTACTAAAGAAGATCCTTTGACAACCACATTCCAGTATGAAGCCTTCTTCAAATAGCAATTCCTAAACCATGCAACCCAAATTTTGTCCTTAGACAGTAAGAAATCCCAAGCCAGACACATTTTAGGAGCAATGTCAATGTCAGCAATTCTTCTCAAACCCAGCACACCTTCTTCTTTAGGTGTAGTAATCTTCTTCCACCTTATACCATGAATTTTCTTTGTATTTTCAACATGTCC